CCACTCACCTTGGCCTCCCAAAGCGCTGGGATTACAGGCTGAGCCACCTAGCCCGGCCGCGTGGATATTTTAAAATTCATTGTGCTGAATTCTTTTTTTTTTTTTTTTTTTTGAGTTGGAGTCTCACTCTGTTGCCCAGACTGGAGTGCAGTGGCAGCTCCCAGCCACCACAGCCTCGACCTGCTGGGCTCTGGCAATCCTTCCACCTCAGCCTTCCAAGTAGCTGGAACTACAGGTGCGCACTATCACGCCCGGCTGATTTTTTGATTTATTGTAGAGATGAGGTCTCGCCGCCCAGATGGGTCTCGAACCTGTGGGCTCAGGCAATCCACTCACCTCAGCCTCCCAAGGTGCGGGATTACAGGTTGAGCCACCAAGCCCGGCTTCATTGTGCTGAATTCTAGACAAATTCTTTTAATCTCGAAACTCCTGTGCTTTGGTTCAGAGAAATTTTATTTATGTTTTGATGATTTGTTCAAGCCAACAAACAATAACCACCCGCTCTCCCTCTTTCTTACAGACATCTACAGATCCCTAGGTCATTCCATCCTACTCATTCCCTAAAGATTTTAGCTTCTGGACCACTGTCTCTTTGCTATTACTACTCCTACCTTAACTCACAACAATCTCAATACTCACCACCATGTTTATCTCTCAGTTGACTCCTTTCTTCCAATAGGGGTGGCCTCTACCCGACTTCGGTCACTCCCTCCCACACTGCCCACATCCAAGTAGCTCAACATAGCGTAGGGAAAACATACAATGATGCTAACCAAGTCTCATCTTAAGTTTAAAACCACAAACATCAAACAGGTACTTGGTGCTGCCTGGCAATCCTCAAACTTTTCCTGCTTTTCAACCCATTCTTCCCCACACTCCTGGATGAATTTTACAAACTTCTAATACTTCTCCACTCTTCATGCTACCAGCATTTGGGTCCATATAATCTACTGCCAATGAACTATCTGCAATTGCTCCTACCTAACTTGAAGCCAACATATCCATTTGTGTACTAGGATCCTACTCCGTCTTACCTACTCAAGGACTTCACACCTGCAAATGTCTCTTCTCTCTCTTTAATCATCAATTTCCCCTCTCTACTGCATCATTACATTAATTTACAAACAAGTTATAATGTCTGTCCTTCTAAAAACAAAAATAACTCTCCTGATACCTCATGACCTTTCAACTACTGTCCACTACTCTCTTACAACAATCCTCAAGAGAATATTGCTGTGACTATCTATATACTCACTGTCTTCAATTCTTCTCTCAATTTCTCTTTTTAAAATTGGGTCTTGCTATGTTGCTCAGGCTGGATTCAAACTTCTGGATTCATAGGATCCTCCTACCTCAGCCTCCTCAGTAGCTGAGCCTACAAGTGCTGGGGTTCATTTCCTCTTGAACTTACTGCACAAAAACTGTTCTTGTCAAGGTCACCAATGACCTCCACATTTTCAAATCTGACAGTCTACTTTTAGCTCTCATCGGACTATCAACAGTATCAAAGGCTGTCAATGACTGTCCTTGATTCTTCTACCTCAGAGGTAGAATTTGGAAGACATTTCTGGAATCTTCTCACTTTCCTTATTCTATACACATGATACTCCAGGACTTGGATGTTAGTCCTCTTTTCTGCCTGCATTCACTCCCTGAATCTCTACCTAGTCTCATGACTTTAAATAAAAAATTGGAAGTCATCAGCATACGGATATCTCTAGTCCCAATATCCTTCCTGAATTCCAGACTAATATATCCAACTGCCCTCCAATATCTCCACGTGGATATCTATTAGACAAATCAAAATGAACATGACTGAAATGCAACTCTATTCTCTCCACAAATTTGCTGTTCTTCCAGTGTTCCCAATATCAACAAATGGCAACTCCATTCTTCCAACAGCTGAGGTCAAAACCAACTAGGCCTTCTTGCATTACTGCTCCTTCAGCCCAATTTTCTCCTCACTACTTATTTCTCACCATTCTGTATAATGATTTTTACCATTTACAAAAGAGCTATTTGAGGGAAGGGGACTGCCTTATTTATCTGAATCTACAGCACCTAATACAGCATGTATTAGATTATTTGTACAAAGAGGTAGTGGAATGTCCACTGTTAAACAAGACACCTGCCAAAAGAGATCCCTCTGCAGAAAAAGATTTTGAAGTAGAAAAGTGTATTTCAGTTAAATCTCCACTGGTTTTTTAGTACTAGTCCAGATAGTTTAGATCATACATTGTTAAAAACTGCAAAATCCCAGTGGCATTTCACTTCTTGCTCACTCTACAAGTCAAACACTTTGCCTGGAAGTTTGCTCTGGATCCCAGATTGATGGAGTAGCCACCATTTGAAGCACCAAGAGCCACCATGACAGAAGAAAAGAGAGTAGAAAACTATATACAAGCAGCTTTTATCATGAAAGGCTACACATTATTCCGACGTACATTTCACTGGCCAAAAGTAACTCACAAGGTCATATCCACCTTCACAGGGGCAAGCAAGTATGATTATACTACATGCTCAGGAAATGGAAACCAAAAATACTTGACAGTACTGATGACTATCAGTCCTTAAAAAGAAGTCTATAATTCTGAGCAACAATCTTTTAACTCCTGATCACCATTCTCCATCTGTGAAAATGAATCCCTTGCTAGAAGAGAACCATATACTTACAAAGTACTATCTATGGGTCTTAGGAATGTAACTTCACCAGTTTGACCTGCCTCTTTCATCACTCAGGAGACAAGAGGGCAGCAAAGAAGCCAAGTATGGGTGATAGGAAAGTGTTGAGCCCAAACCTGCTAGAGACAGTCAATGTCAAAAGTGAGGGACCAGTTTGAATAGGCAAGAAATGCATGTTCAATTATGTAGAAGTGGAGAAAGGAGAGAAACCTTCACCAAATTTCTTTCACCAAAGGTACTGAACAGCCAGGCCTTGGGGGTTCTTTACACTATCCCCTGTCTGAAATCTAACAAGTTGTATTTAAACCACTTGATGGAAGATTTGGAGTTTGGGTATGATTAGTAAAGTTAGTCAGCATACTTCACACTATAAAAACACTAGCTTTAAACAAATGAATGAAAAGCACAAGGCCATGCTACTAGAAACAAGAAAGGCAGCAGAGTTAAGAGATGGATTTTACAGTAGAGATGATTTTTTTCCCCTGAAAGTCTCAAAAGATTCAAATCCAGATTCTTAAGCTCCAAATGATCTGGGATAAACCCCAAGTCTACATAGAGCCTAGATTTAACGGATGACTGCTCCAAGTTCTAAAGTATCCTGTGCCATTTCTATACAAAGTTCAAATACTTTCTGTTTCAGACAGTGAAACCACTTGGCAGAAATGCTGGGAAGGACTGGAGATCCTTCCAAGCAGTTAAACATTTGGAACTGTAAAGTCTGCAAGGAATTACACTGAAGGACAGAGCAGGAGTTGAAACAATGCCACCTGCCAAATTGGAAGCAAATTAGAACTCCTAAATGCAAGGTTTCATTGGTATCTACCACACCCTTCCACCTGTCTTTCCTTTAACAAACATATTAGTCGCTTAAGTGTGAGTACAAATGCAGGGAAATTTAAAAAGGGTTCTAAGATTCTGTTTTGCTCTCTATAAATTTGGTTTAGTTAAAAACAAGCAACAAATAACCCCCCCCCAAAAAAAACAGATGGCAAGCAAGAAGTTTAAACACAATGCTTTAAGTACCATAGCAAGAATATAGGAAAAGCCATTCTAGCATCTAAGTTGGCAAATCTCCTTTCAAGGGAACAATACCATATTTGCTTTGCTAAGTGTCTAGAATAAAGAAAAGGCAAACACACAAAATCCTCTTCTGGTTTAATGACAGTTTAGCAGTATCAAAGCTCATCCTCGCTGGCTCTCCCTTCCTCTTAAAGGTCTCCGCTGTAGTTCCTCCACCATTCCAACCTCCACACAATGCTGGCGGCTCCATACCAGCTCCATCACGAACAATGCCCAGACTACCAAGGTCAGCACCAAAGACACCGGGAGCAGAAATCGGAAACGGATCTTCCTATATGGGAAGGGGCGGGGCGGGGGAGAAACCCTCACCACGGTCTCCCCTCCCCCATACTGAGGCACCCGGGGGCTCAGAATGTAAGCTCAGGGGCCTATCCACCGCTGCTTTTGGGAATTCTAAATCTCTCTTCCCTATTCATACCAATTTTTCTCCCTGCGCCCCCAATGACTTCACCTCCCCCCAGTCTGAGCTCCTCATTGTGGACTGAGGGGGCGTCGCGATGCAAGCTGGGGAAGGGGGAAGTGGGGAAACGCGCAATAGGGGAGATGCTGTCAGTGTGTGTGTACGTAGAGGGCGGGGGTATACTCTTGAAGGAAGCCGCTGTCAAGGGCAAAAGCTCTAGAGATCTACGGTAGGGGGCTTTATAGGTAAGCCGTTATTGAGGGAACCCATTTGGGGTTCTAGACAAGAGGGCTATTATGTGTGAGGTGGTCTTTAGAGGCAGTCGTTTCTGGGGGAAACATTTCATGGGACAGGCAAGTAAATTATTCATAAGAAAGCCTCTGTGAGGTTCTCTATAGGGGAATCTCTCCTGGGGGAGACGTTCTATGGGATGTCACAATAGAGAGTCTTCACCGGGAACCACTGTGGGGAAACTCTTGTAGCGTTACCTACAGGGGAGCCATTGTAGGGGAACCGTTGTAGGGTTGTCTATAGGGGAGCCATTGTGGGGGAACCGTTGTAGCGTTGGCTACAGGGGAGCCATTGTGGGGAACTGTTGTAGGGTTGTCTATACGGAAGCCATTGTGGGGAACCGTTGCAGGGTTGGCCATAGGGGAGCCACTGCGGGGCTTCTACAGAGGGCGCCCTTCCTGGGAAAACGTTCCTCCAGGAGCCGTTCAGGAAAGAACTGTCCAGAGGAAGCCATGTCGGGCCACGCCCTGCAGCGGGAGGCTCCGCCGGACCCCTACAGCCCGCATCCCCCGCCCGGCCTCCCCTCTGGGGCCTCGGCCCCGCATACCTGACGGAAGGCGGCCCGCGGCTGGAGCTACCGGAGGACCGCGCGCGGGGGAGCCCCAGCCGGCGCGGGGGGCACACGTCCATGGCGGCGGGCGGCGGAGGACGGCACCGCAGCGAGGGTCGCTTTGGCACGCCGGGCGGCTCCAGGCCTGC